CTGCAAATAATTATTTTATTTTATTGCAATACGCTCGATTTTTTATTTTTTTTTCTTTGACTCTCCTGATTGTTTTAAATTACATTACTTAACTTTCTCATTAATCATTATCATTATGTTTAAAGAATACTTTATTTTCATTGACAATTATTGAAATACATACATTTTGTAGAGCAAAAGAATTATAACAAAATATTGGTTTCATGTAAAAAAGTTTTTCTGTGAACAATTTTAGCTGATGAGTACATTTAAAGCCGTTTCATATTTAACAGCTATTTATTATCGAATTCCTTTCTATTCGTTATACGTATATATATATATATTATCTTAGAACTATTATAGTTTAGAGATGCAGGGCGTGGTCACTAAATGCATACAGACAGTAGTAGTAGCGGTAATGCAGGCCGATCAAATCAACTCCGAGAGCAAGAGCTAGGTAAGGTGATTGTAAAAAAATTACCGAGGAACGAGAACGCGGCTAGAGTAGTTCATTAGCTTTAGAAAAAAAAATAAAACTAATAAAATAACAAAAAAAAATAAATAAAAAATCCGATTGAAGCATATACATGAAAATATACGCTTTAAGCTTACGGGTCTTTTGGTTTTTCACTTCTGTGGTACTATATACGCTTACACATATTCGTATTATCGGTATATATTTTGATTACACACCAAGCTGGTGCCGTTACGTAAACATTCGCGCAAAATATACAGAGATTTATTTTATTTGTAACTCAACAATTTTCCTATTTTCTCATTTTGTAGCAAGCATAAATTTTACTTACTTTATCCGTGTTAATTTTTTTCTGACCTAAGCCATCGTAAAATCCAAATCGTATTTCCGCCAAGTTTTACTATTTTTAGTTTTATTTTACAGCCAATGAAATTATTTAGGATTTACCAACACAAAAAATTTTCTGCTTACAAAAATAAATTCATCAAATTTTTTTTTCAATAAATAAATAAATAATATGAATGTAAATTTTGTTACAAACAATTTTATAAAATTAAACCAGAAAAACAAAACTAAGATTTATCATGTTGAAAAAATTAATTTATTTAAGTGTACTATTGACGTTGCTTTATAGTGCAGAAGATTATTTTCTTGTTCGTGGTGCGGAATGCTACTGGGATTTCAAGTGTCTTGTTTTCATCATTATTCCTTCAACAATAATTAGGATAAATTTCTTTCTGTACTTAAATATTTCTTCAGCTTAAGCTCGTGCCATTTATTTTGTTTTACCGCAACTCACTGGGATCGTAACCAGCCGACCCTCAATTTTCGAAGAACGTTCTTCAGAATTATGTCCAGGATCATAAACATCGTAGCAGCACATACACAGACTCTCCAGCAGAGTTAAGTAAAAGTGTATTACAATAAACGTATACATGTACATTGTACAACCAAAGAAATATTTTACTTTGCAACTTTTCAATAATAATAATAATAATAATAATAATAATATTTTTTTTCTTCTAACATTATAGTGTTTTCAACATGAACATGCGTGAAAATTTCAATGAGTTAATTTTAATATAAATGTGTAAGCCTTTTTATTAACAGTGTTAGAGGTTCATTGACCATAATCTAGATTTTGAATTAATTGAGTCAAGTGTAACGAGGCTTTACCACGTTGATACGGTAACTGCACCACGTGGGAGCCTTTTTATACAACCGCGTATAAACACTCACTCTCCTGACTCAATTTACATCAATGAAATAGCATCTACAATCTACAATTACAAACTCTGATGCAATCGTTAATTTAATCTAATAATTCATGCATATATATTTTTTATTCTTATTTTTTTACACTCACACACGAGTGCTTGGCGGATTTCAATATACCAATTAGCGACACAAACTTATGCATACAATCACTCCTCCATTCAAGTGACAATTACCATTAATCTCTATTTCCTGTCTAACTTGCATCTGTTAAATACACACACTGGAGATAAGAGTAAATGATACACGAAGTGACCTCAATGTATAACTTTAAGCACTCCAGTAATCGCTTCCGTTATAAAAAAAAAAAACCTGTGATCATTAATTTTAAAATTTTGATTGACAGAAATTATTAGTTTCAATAGAAAGTTAGAAGGATACATATATATTAATAACTAATTGATGCACAAAAAAATATTCATTCGCTTGGAAGAAAGAGAAAAAATATAATTTATAATTAATATTAAATCAGTGAAGAAGTGAGCTTTGTAGTAACCGCTAGTAGCTTATGTTTTTTTATGAAAACACTTGAGCAATAATTGATGGATAAAATTATTATTATTATTATTATTATTATTTATTCAGCTGATGATATCAACTGGTAGCAGAAGGGAAGCTAAAAAAAAAGGTCTCGGTGGTTATTCTACGAATAATCATAATGTCTTAAGTTAATGTAGTTTATATAAGACTACAGTTGTGGATAGAAGTCAAATCGAGTAAAGTAAAGCAGCATTAAGTCTCTGTGAAAAACTACTCAAAAGCAGCAGATCCCACGTGGTTCAAGCACCGTGACCACTATATGTATAAATGTTGAATAGTAAAAGTTAAACCTATCTATATGTGTACACTTATGACGAGTGTCGGGACGATGAACGTCATTGACCACATGAGGGTTGATGAAGTACTGAAGACTATTAGTAAATTTACAATTAAATTTTAAGTGATGAAGAGTATGTCTGATACCCATAGCAATTACGTCAAAACTAGTAGAGAAGGATGAAATATATATGAATAGGAGGAATAATCATAAACGGAAGTTGCTACCGGAACAACTGTTTCTTCGCAACAAGTTCACATGCTTTGGCTACTATATATTTTATGTACAATTTATCATCATCAGGTTGAGGTCAGAATAATTTTCTTCGTCTTATGTCAGTGGGCGAAGTTGTAGTAGTTATTGTGTAGCATAAGAAGCTTCGTCCACCGTTCCGTTCCACCTCCGCACTTAATACGTTGATCAGATAGAAGATAAAAACAAAGTTTCACACGCCGCGATCCTTTTTATCAAGCTTTTAAGTGTCTTTACAAATCTTTTCTCTTGATACGATAATTATTGTTATTATACATGAAATTTACCTTTATTGGATATTAATTTATTCGATTTTAGTTTTTATATGCTTTAAAATTTTGATCATACATATATATGAGTGTGTAATGATGTAAATTCATGAAAGTTGATAGTTAAAAAGTTTTATTATATCTTACCAGCAGTATGTTAATGAGAAAGATGTGAATAGTTAATACTGTTAGCTAGAAGAAACAGTGAGAAATAAAATGATTGAAAAGACGAAGACAGACTTAATTGGTCGAGTAGAGAAGAGAAATAAGTTTATTGGTCAACGTATTATTTCGATAATTTTTATTTATTTTTTTCATCGATGCTTTAATAGGGTCACGGCACCTGTTATTTCAGGGAATTATTTTGCTGACAATAGTCACGTTGGTCATGACGAACTGTACTGTGTACATACCGTTCTCTATAATCTATTATTAACATATTTTTGAAATAAATAAAAATTTTTTTCAGTTACGCTTACACACGACTGTATTATTAATTCAATATTTAAGAAAGACTATATGAAGTTTTTAATAAATTACAAAACTAGATATAGATGTGTAATATTATTTAACTGAAGAAGATATATTTAAATTTTTGCAAATAAATGATTTAATTAATTATGATAGGTGTTTGAGATAATGAGTATACAGCAATCACTTATATGAATATAAATTGGAAGTTTAATTTCATTTAGTAGAGTTGTATTTAATATGACGACTATTATCATTCATCTTCCCGAGATTAAAATTTATAAAAAATGATCATTTTCAAATATCTTTTTTTTTTTCTTCAAATTATTTTATTTCACTGTGAATTTATGATACAAATTATAAACTAGTAAAAAATATTTTTTTCAATTTAAAGTTTTCAATGTTAACGAAAATCTTATTTTTTTTTTTTTTTTTTTTTTTTTTTTTTTTTTTTTTTCGTATTTTACATGTATTTAAAAAAAAAAAAATAAATGTCAACTTCTTGATTTTATTGTTTTTTCAATATTGATATTTAAAAAATTTTTTATTCTTAATTGTTCTATTTTTTATAAATTTTAAGAAAGAAAATATGTGATAAATAAAAAAATTGTACATATTGTTATTAGTGAAAATATTGTGGACCTACTTGCAAATAATTAGTCAAAACAGAATTTTTACAAACTCTCTAAAGTGTAAATTTAAAAAATGAAAAAATCAAAACTTGAATTAGTATTTGATAAAATTATTTTTTGGGCATTACTCCAAAAAATTTTATTCATTTTAAATGCTCCTTTTTCCGTCAATCGTATAAAAAATTGAATTATTCGATTTTGATGTTTCAACAGTAGTTGTATTACTAAAACCTAATCAATCAATTATCCTACACTAAATATTAATCAGAACCAACTATGTTAGAAAGTTATCGAACTAGAGAATAAATGACATTGAATAATTAAATGTTATTCCAAGTAATGAACGATCATATTATTCTCATAGTAGCAATATTCCGAAAATAATATTAAGCAAGTCTCCATCATCTTGAATAAATATTTCAATACATAAATATATCTAACTAATGATTAAAAGCATTCATTTATTTTTATGATGTATATTATTATTAAATAAAGGTAAAATGGAAAGTGGGTGACGTCATTAATATTTCAATGTATAAAAATAACAGAGAGGAAGAGAGGAAATAAAAAAAGATAAAAAAACTGGTAAGATAGCATATATTTATTTATGTATATTGAGTAGAAGTCACGTGTAACTGTCTCAGCTGTCCGACGTAGTACTACTGCTTACTATAAAACCAAACGTGTCCTACTCATACTCGTAACCGCAGCTCACGGAGATCGTGAACCAAGATGGCGGCGGGTCAATATCCTCCCGCCAGTTAAGAACAAGGATGTAAGTACTCTTAAAGTCCCCAACGGGTCCGTGTCTCCGCCAATCACGAGACGCGTCATTCTGTTCCCCAGGAGCACAACACACACACACACCATACTATAGATTGAATTGCTTGGTCTCTTCGCCAGCAGTTCAGGATAGGACCACAAAAGTCTCCCGCGCGCGCGAAACGCTGCTGGCGCCCGCTGAATCTTTTTCTGCAAACTGGTTTTAAGCAACGACAACAAAAACTCCAGGGCCATACAAGCAGATAAACAGGATTGCTTTGCTTGAACTCTTGTCTTTCGTCTCTTGTCTGCAACCCAGAACAAAGACATTATATCCATTTAATTTTAAATAAAATCACGATAAAATTCACTCCGACATTGTTACATTATGCACTAGGTTACACACATTAAAAATGTTAACATCTAATCTTTCATCCAAGAAAGTGGAAAAAATTGTCTTGTACCTATGATAGAGCTACCAGATTACCTGATTACCTACTGAGTTAGCTGATCATGTAAGCGTAGACAAGAACTTATATAAAATATAAATATAAATGAATGAATTCGCTCTACGCTACTATTATATGTAACGTGTATAATAATGGGACTGCCGTATACGTAACTCTGTAATCGAGATTTCCAATATATTTTTGCGGTTTCCTTTATATTCTTGTCAACAATAAAAGCAATCATCCGGTTTTTGAAATTTGTCAACATTTTACGAGCTATTTCAGCTTTAGAACGAAACGTATATCCCTGACCCCTCTGACCACCCACGATATTGGTGTGGAAATAACTGTGGGATGCTCGTGATGTTCGTGGGTGTCCTATGGGGAAGCTAAAAATTTATCAATAAAATTTACAACCCTCTATTTTTGTAGGCACTGAATAATTTTTTTTTTTTCATTGCTTAAATAATTGTGGAGATTTTTAATATAATTTTAAATGGGAACCTATTTAAACATTATTTTCTAGGTAGCTGACAAATTATGAATGCTTTTGACCATTAACTTAACAGTGTTAGTCATAAAATGTAGTACATGACCATTAACCATGTATGTTTTATGAAATTTCGCGAATATCATGTATGTATACATTAAACTTACTCCAGTTTGGATCATAAAACCGGTTTTGATCGTAATGTAGACACCGGTAACCTTCTTAGCTGCTACCAATCTCTCGTCCACTTCTTCAGCTTCCCCACTCGATTTTTTTTCTTTCTTATATTCGCGAATCGCGAAAAGACTGGTTTCTCCCGTGTCTCTCTTTGTATTTAAATCTTTCTCTTCAATTATTTTCATTTTTTGCTTGTATACCGTACTTCTTTGGTGTAACATGTTTACCATTTTCCGTACATTAACATTACCCAAAACGAGGACATATCAGTCTGAGAATAATTTAGAACGATGAAAAACTTTCGGCTAAATTAATTTTTTACAGTTAAAAATATGATTCTGTAAAAGCTTTAATCAGATATATTTAAAGCATTTATAACTCATAAGTAAAACATTTATGTTCACTCATGTTTCGTGAAGCGAGACGTAATAAGATCTAGATAGCTGATAAAAAATTGTCTTGGGCTATGAAACACGATAAATCACGTTTATCCTTTCTTCACTTTTCAGTGATATCCATGCTGTATTTATATCGTACAAACTAATACCAGTAGAAATATTACGTCGCTGTATGTATGTATGGCTTATGTATTCTATTATTTTATTTTTTGAACTCGTTAATAAATGAAACGGTTGATTATACGCTGTGTAAAAATCGTACATGTATACATTTATGAAACTCTGAAGTTTTAGTCCGTACATGTGAGTATAAATAGATGTGCATATTTATGCACAAAGATATGAACTGATGGAGAATAGATAATCTGAGCTGTTAGTATACTATACAGAGTCTTAGTATACAAAGTGAAGCAGGACTCGTGGTGGCTGCAGGAGTAAAGAGAAGAAAACCAGTTTCGCTCGACTGCATCATCATCATTCTTATTTTACTTGAATTTTTATTTTTCTTATTTTATTTTTATTTCTTTTTTCTTTTTACTCTCATTTATACTCTCGTTGTCTCGAGTGCTTGGCGCGCACGTGCGGACGGCACCTCTCCATGCATATATGTAGTATACCTATATATATATATATATATATATATATCCGTATCAGTAAATGTTCTACCGACGTGGATGACAGCTGATGCTGCGCGATATTTTAAATAAAAAAAAAATAAAATAAAAAAAAAAGTATAAATGAAGGTTCCAGGCAGACAAAGAGACAAAGCAATTCACAGAATGATGATCCATAAAGTCCTTTACTAATAACCAATACGAAAAACTCGCAAAATTTTGTAGAATACTTTTTGGCGGTTTTAAGATATGCTATAGGTTTCTTATATTTTTTTACTTGCAAATTTTTCAGAAATTATTTTCAATTATGCAAACCTCAATACACGCTACCAAAACGTCTTTAATTTCAAGCAGAATCTTTGGAAATTGTTTTTTATGGTTGTGTTTGGTGAGATGCAAAAGGAATAAGAATGGAAAGTTAAGAAAAAATTGTATGTGTAAGACTTTTGTTTGGTTATTTTTTTTAATTTTTACACCTTAAAAATACTGAGGTCTCAGAATTAAACTTGCCACTTAAAAGTTAATTTTTCTGGCGTGTAAAAAGCCAAGTATTGAACGCCAAAGTAAACTCTTTCAACTGGAACAACTATGCTTCATGCTATTACAATGTTTGTACAATCTTTTTCTTTCTTTTTTTTCGGCACCACACACCACTCAATTCGCTGACTTTTTTTTCTTTGACAATTGAGTGAAGGATGACGTGCATATAATTTTTATCTGTTGTAATTTATAATTTATTTTCGGCTTATTAAAGTCTTTTGAAACATCGATTACTTTTTTTATTGGAAATTTTTACTTTATTTTTTATTTGCTGATAATATATTTTTAAATTTTAAAAATCGTTCCAGTATCTTAAGACGAGGTTTTAATATTTAAATATTTATTTGAAGATGATAGCTATATATTTTGCAATTGATATAAATAAAATATAACTCTGAAGTTGACAATCGGCATTCTTTACTACGGATAGAAGGATTCGTTAATATTTATTAATCTTTGTTAACTGTGAATAAATATTTATTTATAGTTAATGAAAACTTGTTAACTTTTAATAAATATTTGTTGAGAGCCTTGAAAAAAAAAAGAGATTATAAAAATTTTAATTTTACACTTTATACGATGCCACAACTAATGGATTATAGAATTTCATTAAATCGGCTAAATTAAGTTATCTTATAAAAAAATAGAAGAAATAAAATGAAACTTAATAGTGTATCATATTACGCGTATAAAAAATTATGGCATTATTTGTTTATGAACGATCTCCACATCCCACCGTAAACAAGACACATTCAGATAAAAAAAAAAAAAAAAAAAAAAGATTTAATAAATTAACAAATTGTTTCCAAATAAATAAATTTATTAACATGTAATAAATTTTTCTATCAATGTCATGTTGAACAAAACCCTTTTAATAAAACTTACAAATTATAAATGCGATGCAAAAGCGATATATTATTGATTTAACTTTTCAAATTGATAGTTCAATTATACTAATAACTTTCTAAATCTCTGACGAAGTGATCAACTTTATGTTTACATATCGACAAGTATTACTTGAGCTTCTATATATATAATTGGTTTCAATCAAATTATAGCTAGTTTCTGTGGGTAGATCAATCTAATATCGCGATACTATACTGCACTTTATGTAATTGATTCTCGGTTGCATTTGATAACTTCGCAATTCGTATATAAATATAATTTTGAAAATATTATAATTACTGAAGTACTAATTTAATTTACAATATTGAATATGTGATACATACTTGAAGAGATGGGTTAACGCAACAATGAATTTTTCTATTCTTGAACATCGTAAAAGTTCATCAAAATTTTACGATCTTCCAAAAATATGAGTGACGACCCATTTGAGTAAAATTTTATGTCTAGATTATAAAGCAGGCGATAAATATATCTACAGTAGAGACACTTTACATCAAAAGCTTAATATTCAAGGTTGCTTAGTTTGACGTTTTTGAAACCTTTAAAAATATTAATCCTACTATATACATTCCCTATAATCTTCTACAGAATTGTGAGAATTGGACATTCATGCAGTCACAAGATTTCTTTAAATTTTTCTTACTCATGTATGCATAAAATATTTCCGGTGACATCAATAAGAAAAAGATTATTAAATCTCTGAGCCCTGTTGTCGATTCAATTTAACCTTTTTGAGCTTACTTATATGTATTTCTTCTTCGAAAGTAATATATGAAGATTTAGAAAAAATATATTATAAATTACATTTTATGTTTGGGTTTAAACTAAAAAAGTCGACATGAAATAAAAAACTTATGTCGTTTAATAATAATTTTTACTTATTTATTGACTATAACCGTAATAATTAATTTATTAGTTCTTCCATTTTTATCCAACGAAAGATAAAATTTTCAACGCATTGATGAGTCTTAAGTTAATTTGTGGAAATTTTACAATCATCAAAAAGTCCCTTTAATTATTATCTTCAACAAAATTATTTTTCAATAAAATTAATGTTTGAGATATTATAATTATCTGAAATATTCTATAATACATTCAGGCACACTAAATATTAATCGATTACTGAATGTTAATGACTCGTACGCGTCAGTGCTGACGCATGTATACACTCACGAACTATTATCTGATAAAAAAAAGTTCTACTTAATTTGACCTGTAAGAATCTTTAAAATTAGTAAAGGTACAGTTACAGTGCAGAAATATGACTATTATTATATCTTTGCTATGTGTAAAATTGTGCTTAAAAATCTTCAGAAAGGAGCGCATTTTGTTTTTTCTTCAAAGCACACATGAGTCGTGCGGTAAATGATAATCATAGCCAGATCTGAATTTTTCCATCCACTCTTTCTAGATCTCGGATGCCCAATTTTAAAACTCAGTAACTGCAAAATTTTTATACCTGATTTTTTTTTTAGTATTGCTGCATTTTTTATAACTTTTAAACCTTAATTTCAAGTATTTTTTCTTAAAAATATTTATATTTGAGTAGTTTCTATTCATAAATCAAATTTGTCATTAATTTGGCGGGCAAACTTTTTTTTAATAAGAAAAATTGAAAAAAATTTTTAAATGTTAGTTATTGTGTTTTGAAATTGGGCAGCCGATCTATTTGTTCTTACAGAATATTTCTTATAGTTGATAGCGGAAAATACATTTATGTAAAAAATATCTGTACATCAATGGAATTATTCTAAATTTATATTTTTGTAATATTCTTTACGTAGACTACAATTTATAAAATAATTGTTCATTTTATTTTAAATCTAATACGTATTTTGGTTCAAAATTATATAGAACTTTTAAATTTCAAAATGTGCTGTTATGAAATTTAAAACTGCAGATTCTTAAAATTTTACTCATAATAAAGAATTTTCTTGAACCAAAATAGTTTCAGGAAAACCTAAATTGTTGTGAAACAAAAAATAATTATCTTCAAATGAAAAAAATTTTTTTTTCCTACACGCAGTGTGCCCCACAAATTAACAAAAATAAATTTTTATCTGACGAAATATGCAGCATCTTAAAGAACCGAGAGGTTTTTTTTTTTATATTGCGAAATAATCCAATCATCTCCACTTACTTTCGATAGTTTCAAAGTGAAGACAGCCAAACTAAACACATCTCGAATGACATTGCGCAAGAGTACACGGTTAGGTATAAGATATAATAGTATAATATATCGCAAGGAAGATTCAACATGCTACTCTTATACTCGTTTATATAGTTGGCATTAGACTCGATACTAGTTTTACGAGTAGAATTACTCTTTTGTATACCTTTCACTTTGGCTCGTGCTGAATGTATAAGATTAACGATAAAGCGAAGATGCGTCTAGCGTTCCCCGCGACATTTATTCCCCGAGTTATAGTTCTTAGCTGTCCAAAGAATAATTAAGATCGATGAAGAGTGTTTATACACAACCTACAACCTTTTACAGTACATTATGCATGCATATATACACATATAATTGAAAATGATAATAATAAGAATTATAAACGACAATGTTAATTTGAATCAGGAAGAATGTTTTGTTATTCGTTAGATAAATTTTAAATAATTAAATTGTCTATAAACAATCTTTACGACATACGTTATCTATAAACATCTTATATAAGAGTTCTATCATCACTATATATATATGAATATAAAGTCACATTTACAGTTTACAGTTACGTGTATCAATAAACTCAAACTGACGCTGACATCCCTGTA